AGGTACACATGACCCAAGCCATAGTATTTTCAATTGCCTCATATGCATGCAAAAGCTGGGCAACAAATAAGCAAGACAGAAGGACTGATGCCCTTGAATTATGGTATTGGCAAAGAATACTGAATATACCATGGACTGCCAGAAGAACAAATAAACCTGTTTGGAAGAAGTACAGCCAGAATGTTCCTTAGAAGCAAGGGTGGTAAGACTTTGTCTCATGTACTTTGGACATGTTATCAGGAGGGGTCAGTCTCTGGAGAAGGACATCATGCTTGGTAGAGGGTCTGCAAAAAAGAAAACCCTCAATGAGATGGACTGACCCAGTGGCCGCATCAATGGGCTCAAGCATAGCAACGACTGTGAGGATGGCACAGGACTGCACAGTGTTTCATTCTGTTGTCGCTATGAGTTGGAATTGATTCAACACCTCACAACAAAATGACTGAAATTAAACTGTAACTGATCATTAACAAATAAAGAAATCATGACACATTTACCTTGAATTAACTAGATTTAGTTTTTCTGCCATCAGAGAGAATGAGGCCTAAAATAGAAACTGACTTGAGTTATAGAGAATAAAGTTACAATTCAGGGATACCTGTCTTTGAGCCATGAAATCTGTACCTGTTACATATGTGTATGTGTGTGTATATAGGAAATATTTGGAAGGGTATCCATTAAATTTAAAACAGTGGTTTTCTTCTATAGGGTGGTACTGGACGGAGAAGGGAGATAATGAACTTTTTCTTTATAGAACTCTGTATTGTTTTACTTGTTACCATAAGCATGTAATATCTATGTACAAAGATGATGGCTATAATTATGCAAATACTTAAAAACATGGACAGTACCTATGGTATGAAGATAAAAAATCAGAATGCAAAATATGTATACTTTGCTTGCATATATATGTGCATGTGATAGAGGCCTGGCTGGGAATACTCTTTAATGAAAATAGTTGTTCAAGTTCATTCACTCATTCCTTTACTCTGCAGAAGTTTGCTGAGCACTGGGCGACAGTCCTAGGCACCTGGGATACAGCAGGGAATCAAACAGCCAAATATGTCTCGCCTTACAGAACTTCATTCTAGCAGGGAGAGACAGATAGTACATAGTGAGTGCTATCGAAAAAAATGGAACAGGATTAAGGGACACTTGCATTGCTGTGAATGAGTGGCAGGTTTAAATAGGCTGGTGGCAGAAGGCCTCACTAAGACAGTGACATTTGAGAAAAGATTTGCAGGAGGTGAGGGAGTGAGTCATACAAATATCTGGGAGGAGAGCTTTCCAAGCAGAGGGAACAACAAGTGCAAACGCTGTAAGGTGTGTTCAAGTAACAGCAATGAGAGCAGTGTGGCTAGAGCAGAGTAAGCAAAGGGGAGAGCAAGTCAGAGAGGTAATAAGGAGGCCAGTTGTGTTAGGCTCTTTAGGCTCTTGTAAGGACTTTGGCTTTTATTTCAAGTGAACTGGGGAGCCACTATGGGGTTTTGGGCAGAGGAATGACCAGATCCCTCTGGCTGCTTTGTGGAGACTAGGCTATTAGGAGGGGCTGAGGGAAGGGTAGCAAGGGAAGGGTTGTCCATGTGAGAGATGAAGGTGGTGGTGGAGATGCTGAGGTGTTGGATCCTAAATACAGTTTGAAGGTAGAGTCAACAGGATTTCCAGACAGGTTGGGAAGAGGATGTGCTGAAGACAGGAGTCATGGATGGCTCCTGGGTTTTTGGCCTGAGCAAATGAGGTAGAGAAGCCATTAATTTGAATGGAGAGGACAGTTGGGTAGAACATGTTTGGGGGTGGAGGAAGATCAGGAGTTTATTTGTGGACTGGTTTTATTTGAGTGTAGTAGCAATATAAATTCGGTGTTCTTTTAAATATGTTTCTAATTTTATGATAGCATGTTTCCAACAGGGGGAAAATCATTTCAAGACTCCTGACCCAGCAACATTCTGGAGAACGGAAACTTTGCAACTTTGTCACAGCTAGTGATCTGGAGAAATAACGTGGATAGATGATACGCCAAAGGGCTGGAGCCTGGGTTCCAGTTTTTAAGTGGGGTTAGGGGAGTAGAGCCTGCAAATCTGTCCACAGTCCTGGCAAGATTCTAGAACATGTCATTAAAGAGATGGCATATAAACTCCAAAAATTAGTAGTGGCTGCCCTTGGATTCAGCCTGAAGTCAAGAGCAAGTCAGACCAATAGGACAGATTTTAAAAAAAGAACCAGCACAGTTTTGGAACTTGGAAGTTCAATGTGGAGTGGAAAGGTTTCTTTTTGAGGAAACAAGTCTCAGGTTGCTGCGACAGTACTATTGTGTAGTGTTACGGAAGTGGACACTGGTGCCCGACGCTGGAGCAGGGCTGGAAGGTTCACATCCTGCCTCTATCACTTTCTAGCCCTCTCATCTGGGGCAAATGAGCCCTGATGGAGAAATGGTTAAGAGCTTGGCTGCTAACCAAAGGTTGGCGGTTTGAACCAACCAACCCTTCTATGGGATAAATACGTGGCTTTCTGTTTCCGGTAAAGATTACAGCTTTGGACATCCTATGGTACAGTTCTACCCTGACCTACAGGATCACTATGAGTCAGAATCAACTTGATGGCAACAGGTTTGGTTTTGGTTTTTTGGAACCTCTCTGTGGCTCTTAGGCGAGCCTTGACGTTGCAGGACTGTGGGTTTTAAGCTAATAGTTGTAAGTGCTTAGCACAGTGCGTGATGTACACCGAAGGGCTGTCCTGGGTGGAAGGGGCACTCATGGAGTACCCTCATCCTTTTCTTTCTCTTTATTGACCCGAGGTAGGTCCTGCCTCATCCAGTGAGGTGGCGAGAAAACATAAGCGATGAACAAAATAAATTTCTGCTGGTATTGCCACACAGAGTTCTCAGCACAGGGTTAGACAAACACAAGTCTCGGTGCTGTTTGAATTGTTTGTTGCCAGGAGGCCAGGCAACCGGAAAGCGGAGCTGTCCTGGCTTTTCTAGAACCCCGGTGAAGCCGGCCGTTGCTAGGCGACCTTAGGACCCAGGGAAAAAGGTGACGGCGCTCCAAATAGGCTCCGCCCCCACATCAGCGCCGGCCGTACAGTTCGCCCCGCCCGCCCCACCTTCCCGCCCTAGTCCTGCTCAGCCCCGGCGTCAACCCTCGCGACAGGCGTGTGACGCATGCGCTCTTCTCGCGCGGCTAGACGTTCCCACCCTCGGCCATACTCGGCCCCGCCCCTCTTGCACGGCTGCTACTCTGCCCTCCCAGCTTCGTTCTCACCCAGACCCAGTCCTGCCCACACGGCATCTTGAGTCCCGTGAATAGTGACTGCAGAACAACCTCATATCCTGCAGACACACCTTCAGTTCTCTTGTGGTGGCGGTGGTGATAGGCGGGGATGTGGGATAGAAGATCACCGCGGAATGCGGAGAGATGGCAGTTGCCGCGGGCTCACTTCCGGATGGCGGGCGGAAGTGGCTGCGGTGGATGGTGGGAGGGAAAGGGGAGGGAGAAGGGAGGGACGGACCGCCGGGGGTCGAGGGGGTGGGGCTTGGGCCGGTGGTGGGGACCCGGCCTGGGGTCCGACTCCGACCGGAGGTGGGTCGTGGCTCCCACCCTAGAGGTGGCGGGCGGGATCCAGGTAACGACCCAGCGCGGATAGGACGAGGGTCGTCCGTGTGGCAGAGGGATGCGAGTCGAAGCGTAGGGAGGGTCGCGGTTTCTCCCCCCTTCCCCAGTGAACTCCGACCACTGGCTTTAGAAAGGAGAATGGGCGGAGTTAAATTTTTGAGGGGGCGGGGGGGTCATGTGCACACCACGCCCCTACTGGAAGGAAGAGTGTGTGTGTGTTTGTGTGTGTGCGTGCGTGCGTGCATGCATGCATGCGCGTGTGTGCACGCGCGTGTGTGCGTGTGAATAAACTTAGTGGGGAGGGGCGACAGGGGTGGGTTCCCGGACTGAGAAATTGGAACACTGTGGAGCTACTGCAGGCAGAACTCGGGCCTCAAAAATTCCAGGAGAGTGCTCTCGGCAGTGGCCCCGGGAAGGAGTTTCACAGAGATTGGGAATTACGTCCCTGGCACAGTTTTGGAAGCAGAGGGGGAGGTGAGGGTTGAAGGAATGAGAGCTAGGGATGAACGTGGAAGGTGCCAATATCTCGGTCCGGAATGAATTTATTTAGTTCAGTTGGAGACAGCTGGATGATTAAAACACTGCACATCCTAAGGCGCTTGGAAGATGTTGGATGATTACTGTGTAGGTCTCTAGACAGGAGGAGGACATTCGTTTCTGTGTTTTTTAGAAGAGTCTGCACACACCTTTAGTGCTTTCGGTTACTTTTTCCGGTGGAATATATACGATCCTTCTTTATCCTGAGCCATATATATGTATATATATTGATATGACTATTTTGAAGTGCAATATGTGGATGAAGCAGGTACTTTATTACCTTGTAGAATGTTTAATGAATTTTTTTTTTTTAATGCTAGGGCATAGTAAGGGAATCTAATCTAGATAGGGAGGGGGAACTAGAAAGTCTTAGGAATTTATTTGGGTATATACTAGAATGAAGAATGCCATAATGTTTAAATGTTCCACAGGTTAACACAGAAATCAGCCTCCTGGGCCATGCCGGTTCTAAGGCCTGTTTCTTTTCATGATCCTGAGCAGAAGACAGCCGGGCCAGTCCTAACAGTGGATGACTTCCCCTCCCTGAGCAAGAGATGGGATAGTACCTGGGATCTGTCCATCACCAGACTTTGAGCTTAATTTGCCAGCTGAATGAAGGGATGTAACAGACTCCTGGGAGGGACACTAAACCTTGCAGTGTGTGTGTGTGGGGGGGAGGGGACTGGACACACCCCTTCCCCCCCAGACTTCTCCCCATCAAGGTCCACTCAGCCATGGGCTTTGGACCAGGATAAGAGGAGAGAAACTGCACATCCTTTTGTGGATCTGATTTGGGATTCTCAGCTTTGGAAATGGAGTGCTGGATGGGGGTTTGATGATCTCCAGGGGAGCAACTGAGAGAAGAGAGGTAAGATTCCTGTCTCATTTCCCACTTGGTGTCCTGATGTTCCTGTGCAGAAAATGTTGTGTGGTTCACAGTGAGGAGACACTCATTCAGGTCAGGGCACCTCCTGTGCGCTGGTGATGACTGTTACCCTGATAAGATGGACACACAGGAAGCATCACCTCTATTTCACTTTTTCTGGGTGCAGACCTGTTCCCAACTTCTCCTTACCCAGGCAGGAGAGGTACCTTGTAAGAACATGAAAAGAATTCAGGCTTTTGAAGGGAAGTTGGATTAGATTACCTTTAAGAGCTTTTCCAACACTGAGAAAATAGGATTCCAAGTCACTTTGGGCTAAGACTGTGGAATGGATTACGCATGCAGAGGCAGGCTGCTCTATTTTGGGGAGCTAACTGAATAGGACTGCCAGGTGGAGAGGGTAGGAGATGATCTAGATAACCTCCAAAGTTGTCTCTCCTCCTCCTTCCCCTGTAAGGGAGTTTAGGCTATGAAACTTCTTGGAAAGAAAGGAGGAACAGAATATAGGTTTAGGCATCATGGGATGTGTGTTCTAGATCTGACTTTCTTAGTGATTTGCAACTCTAGATATGTTAATTAACCTCTGCTGTGGTCTCTTCATCTGAAATGGGATAACTAACTTTCCCAGGCCCCTCACAGGTTGTTAAAAAGAACAAACAAAATAATGAGGGATTTTGAAAAGTACCCAGGGCCATGTACATAAAAACAGTAACAATGACATTATGTCTCTATTTGTTACATAGAGAAAGGCTCTGAATTAAGAATTCTGTTCTTTTATTGAGTTAGTGTGCTTGTAAAAGCCTTAGAAGATGTCCTTAACTAAAAGCCTGCCTGAATTTCCTGTTGCTGCTTAAACAATACCTGGGGTTGTCACGTTGTAGAAAGAGGTGAACTGGTCACAAGGAGAACTTAAACTGAGGGGATTCTGCCAGATACTGCATTGGCTTAGGTGTTGCCTGTGGCTCTCTAGTGAGCATGGCAGTGTGCCATTTTGAAGTAGCAGATTAAAGAGAAGTGGAGGAAAGTTTAAGTTCTAAGGACCAGAGTCCAGTTAGGAGATGCAGCTTCACTTCTTGGAATGATCACTAGGCCTTTCCTTCCTGTGTCATATCCTCTTCTCTCCAGCCCTTTGTTATTGTTAGATGCCATTGCATTGATTCTGACTCATAGTGACCCCATGGGACAGAGTAGAACTGCTCCATCAGGTTTTTTGGCTGTAATCTTTACAGAAACAGATTGTCTCCACTTTTAAGATGACAGTTTTTTCAGACTGACATTTGTTTTTGTTGCTGTGTACCATTCCAACTCATAGTGACCCTATAGGACGGAGTAGAACTGCTGCATAGAGTTTCTTTAGGCTGTAATCTTATGGGAGCAGATCGTCAGGTCTTTTCACATCTCTTAGCCCTTTATATGTTTGCAGGCTGTGTTCCCCAGGTAAAGCAGAACTGTTCATAGTTATGTTCTCACCCCTTGCCTACTTCTTCCTTAAACTCCACTTTACCTATGTCAGAATGCCTGCTTTTGTCAGTGATAACAAACAGAGCAGAAAGGAGAGATGGAACATAGTATTGGGAGTTCAGAGACTCAGTGGGGTATGGTGGCCTTGGCGAGGGGCAGGAGGCTTCACTTCTAGCATCTCTCCACCTCTCACCAGCTGACTGACACCTGGGCTTCATGTTCACTGGAGCTGACAAGGACTAAGGTCATTTCAAGCCAAAAGTCTATATTTATGACTTATTTACACCCCCTCCCCCTTCCTTTCTTCCTTGCCGTAGGGGTCCTTGACTCCCCTCAGTGGCCTGAAGACTGGGCATGCAGGCAAGAGTGGAATCACTGGTCTTGAAGTTCTTCTCTGGTGCTGATGGTGTAGGGGGCCCCTTTGAGGCCAAGCTGCTACTTTAGAAGGTCTGATTTTCAGGGTGGGGGTCTCACCTTCCCCAGCTTTGCTCAGCCAGTTTCTGGTGCCAGTCTTTGCTTAGGCCCAGGGATGTGTAGTCCCAGGTTGCCTCCTTCGCCATCTCTGAGATCCCACACTGTGTTAGAAGGCTTTCTTCATTGTATGTAGCTACAAATGCATGTGAGTGCTTCGAAGCACTCGAAGTACCAGGGAGTTCTGTTGTAATGGGATATTGCTTCTACTATGTAAAGTGCCAAGTCTTTTGTACCAGTTTTCCCTCACTGCATTGTTGTGAGAAGACCGAGCAGAGATTATTTCTCTAGTTTCATGCATGAGGGAAAGCTACAGAAGCTCCAAACAGGAAGGGCTTGCCTAAAATTGTGGAGTGACAGACACTGTATTCGCGACAGACACTATTCGCCTGCCCAGTACTGTGCTGCTCCTACAGCATCTGAGCTGACAAGGGGCATCTGGAATCTGCTGCAAACCCCAGAGAAGAACTCATTGCCCTGTTAGAAAGTCTCTCTGGTAAGACATTTCTTCCTTATTGTGAGCCGGAATTCATCTCCCTACAACTTCCACCAAACGCCCTTGTTCAGTCCTCTGCCTGACCCTTCCACAAGACTACTCTCAAGATAGCCATTGACCCTTCTCACAGAGGCTTAAGGACACCAGGGCGCTTCCTTCTGGACCCTGCTCAGACATGGCAGTCTTTGGGTATAAAGCCACTTAGTCAGGACCAGTGATAGACTTAACCAAAAGTTATATGGGTGTTTTAACTGAATTTATTTACACCCTTCTTTGCTATGAGTTGGAGCCCTGGTGGCGCAGTGGTTGAGAGCTATGGCTGCTAACCAACAGGTCTGCTGTTCCAACCCACCAGCCACTCCTTGGAAACCCCATGGGGCAGTTCTACTCTGTCCTACAGGGTCGTAATGAGTTGGAATCGACTCGATGGCAATGTGTGATTATGAGTTGGAATCGACTTGATGGTAGTGGGTTTGGTTTTTTCTTCCAAGAATTATAGGTTGCAAACCAAGTTACATTTCACAGACCTTGCTCAGTGATTATTGTGTTAATCTTTTCTCCTTTCTTTGACCTTGATGAGCTGAGTTTTTGAGTCTCTGTGGAGTAGGAGGGATGTTGGGGGGAAGGGAGAGGGGAAAATAGAACACTGATTTAAAACTTTGCTTTTTTCTCCTCCTGTTGGTGTCAAGCCAGGATCTCTGCATGAATCTTTTCTAAATTGTAAAAAAATTCATGGTATCTTGGGCATAGTTTATGGGAGTGAAATTTTCTGGAACAATTTTCACTGCTTTTTAGTTCTCTTTTGGGTGGTAGTGCGGGTGGACAGGATAGAGTATTGCTCCTTCTAATTCTCTCTTATCCTGTGACCTGATTCTCCCCTTTTTTCCAGTTTCACATAATCCAATCCCAGTCTCATTCCCAGAATCCAGGCATCGTGTACCCTGTTTCTGCTCTTCTTCCCCCATCATCCTTTCCACTGAAACCTTCATTATCAGAACCCTGGACCTATTTTTCCAGTTCAGTCTGGCACTCATTACCCTGACTTCTTGCCTCTCACACCAGATATTTTCTCTTGCTTCCATCCAGGAATTCAGCCCATGCTCATTCTCTAAACTGGCCCTTTCTTCTTGGGACAGTCCTCTTGGCTGTCAGGGAATTTCTACTCTTAGATCTTCCTGTTAGTCTTGGGACTTAAAGCCTTCTAAAGTAAACAAAGGACTGCAGAGATGGGATGTGAGTTATGATGCACAAGTAGTTTCTCATTCTGTTCGCCACTGAACTGCCTTAGGCAGAGAAGGATAATTGTTAAAGGTGGGACTCTCACATCTCTTCATGGGATGGTTGGACTCCCCAACCTTTCAGCACCCCACTATGTCCTTCCTCCTGGAGGGTGACTTTAGCTCTACATACCTTGGATCTACAAACCACTGTTTCCCAACTTTTTATACTTTTAGAAAATGTTACCATTTTGTCTCTCGCCTTAACACTGAGTGTGAGTATGCAGGGCTCCCATGCTCCTGAACTCCCTTCATAAAGAAAGCATAGAGAGAGGGCAGAGGAGCAGAGACACTGGCCACTGGCTGCCACATGTGCATGGGCTCCACTCTCTCGTCACAGTCCATGCAATCAGCTAAGCTGGAGAGTTAGTGTAGAAATGTAGTGGGGTCTTGTCTGACCACCTCTAACTTTACAAGGGGGAAGGAGAATCAAGATAAACAGCCCAAGGCTAATTCCTGTGAGGCAGAGGTCAGACACATCTCCTCTCTCTGCCATCTTTACCAACTCTAACTCTCAGAGGGTTTGATAATTCACTGAAATGGCCACATAAAACTCACAGTCAATACTCATGATTATGGGTTTATTAGGTTAGTTACAGTTACAGTTCAGGCTCAGGAACACTCAGGATACAGTTCTTCCATCAGGATAGCCTCTTCCCAGCTGTCCTGGAAGGCACACCTCTCCCCACCCTCGGCCCCTGCCCAAAAGCACTTAGCTTTCTCTCTCCATGGGCCGGGAAGCCCACCATGCTGTTGCCTGCTTCCGGGTCTCTTCTGCCAGGTCTCATTGTCTTCAGTGTTACAGCTCTCTCTGTCTCCTGGGTCCAGGAGCTTCTCAGCAGAGGGATGCCGGGTCCAAAGGACGTGCTGTCTGCTCCTGGCTGTTCTTCCTTGGTGGTGGTGGGATCCTCTCTTTCCCACCTGTGGGGTTGCTCATTTCAAGCCTAGCAGGATGACCGATCCCTTTGGTGGGCTACAGTTATCCTATCTACACAGTCCGGCCCAATTACCTGGGTGGGAGTTACCATGGCTAGAAAGGCCACACAGAAGTGATCCATCACACTGCAGGCAGCCCCCTGGCTTTTCTGGCCATGGTTCTTTTATACTTGGAGGATAACTTCCTCCTCCCAATTATTTTACCAGTCCAAAACAGTCATTAACAATTAGTCCTTCAGTAGGGCAAAGAGTTCTCAGGGTGAGGTTACTCAGGTACCAGCCACTCAGGTCTACTGCAGGTTTCCATTTGATCTGTGATCTGGTTACGTTCTCTAATAGTTCTT